TCATCATCATCATCATCATCATCATCATTATCATCATCATCATCATCATCATCATCATCAGCATTGTCATCATCATGTCAGTTCTGCGACATACTACATCGGAGATTATGGTTTTCATTTAACCCTTTGCTCGGATTTTCAAAACGCTACACTATCCTGATCTATCCCCGCCACCAATATGATACTGCATCATGATAGACAAACGGGGTTACTCGATAAAGCATTTTTCAACTTGGGAATTGAACTCGTGTACAAGGATGGAGGGACTAGCTATAGGGATTCCTTACCTCAGCCTACATGTTAGTATGTATTTGTGCATGTGTGTTTTGAGGACGTCCTGTCCTGAGCATTACACCACAGACTCAAAAAAAAGAATGTCAAGAGGAGTATATCCGAAAACTACTTAGAAAGGATTCCATTTTGAAAGTTGAAATACAAAAGTAGGTTACGAAATAGATTCCATTTTTTTTTAAACAACAACAACATCAAAACAAAGTATTTAAAAATGTCAATATCTCGCTGATTGAACAATTCAATCCTTTCAAATCAGTCAACAAAAAAAAAACCTTTGTAACCTCGTTTTCCTTTTCTCCACCATCACAGGGAAAGACGTGAATGTTTTATTTTGAAAAACGCGTCTCAGTTGCCCAACAACACACAAGGGCAGGAGAGAAATTTGTAACGGGAGTAATGATCGAAAAAATAGCTAGGGTATCTGGAAATTGCAACCATGTTTAACGACCGGACGTACAGGCAGCTTTTTTATTGATGGGTTCGGAGAGTGTAAGGAGAGGCCTGAAAACGCTAGTTGTAAAAAAAAAAAAATAGCGTGCAGTTTTATTTGTTCCGTAATAAACGTTGATTTTATCTTCAAAGGGATGGAATACTCTGTGAACCCAGTCCCATCCTCAATCTTATAGGCAAAACAATTCACGCTCTTGTAATTTAAAAAATCGCTACAAAGAAGGAGGCCCATTTTGTCAATATGCCTGGTGGTTTCGACATCTAATATGCAGTATTTTGTTACATTTAGATAATTTCAGCATGCCTCAATTTTAAGGAAATAGCTTCGGCTTTAATTAACTGTTCAAGAGCCACATGAGGAAAAGCATATTAAAAGGTGGAACGGGTGGGGAGTTCATTGTGGAAATCATCTGAAGGGGAGTGATAACGAAATTGTTTTCTTCATATGGCTCTGAAACAGTTTATTGAGATCGTAACCAAATCCCTAACATTAAGGATAGTAAGTCTAAACAAATAGGATTTGAGCCAAACAGTCAGTTTTGCATAACGGATAACGATTCAATAAAACTAACCGCACAGCTCTGTGGCTATTCTAGAGGTTTTTGGTTTGACACCAACAGCCTTCTCACCTTTGGGTGTGAATTCACAGACACCATAAGGACCGTTCCTGGAGTGAATCTCAAAGAGTATAATGGCAAAGGAGTAGACATCTCCCTCCTGACTGCCGCGGCCAGGCGCGTGCTTGTTCCTCAGTAGTTCAGGAGCTTTCCACAACATACCTGTTGGCAAACAGATCCCGAAGACTTGAGACAACAACTGGTTGCAATTAATTATACAAATTAGTAAGAATTCGTGACACGAACAGTGGTAATAACTGTAACATTATCATTACTAAAAATAGTAATTTAGTAATCATAATGATTGCAAATGATATTATTATTATCTTTATTGCTATAATAGTAATGATAATGATAATTAACAATAATGATAATAATAATAATAATAATAATAATAATAATAATAATAATAATAATAATAATAGCAACAACAATAACAATTAATGACAATAATACTAGTATATGCATTGCTCCGACCTAGCAGACGACTAATATTGTGTTTGCATTGTCTAGGTCAACGTGTGATGGAGTATGAGGCGACACACTTTTAACCTTATGTGTGCTACGAACAGGCAGTTGGTTTGAGTGGAAGGAAGTAATTTTCGGACACAACATGACAATGTGTGTATTAATCTCTTTACTATTCTTTTCAGTCAACTTGAAACTGGTCCAAACTTCTGCCTTCCTCTAAGTACAATCTATTGCTATATATTGCGGCTCTCAGGTGTGATATCTGCTGTAATTGTATTCCTTTCGTGGGTATTTTTATGTCATAGCAGGGCTCATTTTTTTTTCCATTTCCATTATCTAATTGTAAAAAGATATATATTAACTATCCGTAGCTATTCGAGTTTGTGTTTGCAAGAATAGTGAAAAAATTGCGGCATTTATAATTTTTCAAGTACATCTGGGATCGATGATAATCCTGTCTTGCCGCTTTACTCCAAGAGTCTCTCAATGGTATCTCAAGAGAAACCTGTTAAGATTCCTCTCATGCTACGAATAAACTTTCCAGGTCTCGTTTGTATACTTCAATAGCTTCATAAACGCTTGCTTTGTACATTTTCACCTTGGTCTTGATGTTGGGATTTTAACAATCATAATACAATATCTTTGATAACTTCCTTTTACGGGTTTGAGGCTGTTTTGGGTGGTTCATATATCAGTATGAGTATAATATTATACATTTTAGTCTTATTTTCTAATTATAGTAACATTTTGTGTTAAACTTAGTGTTTGTAAATGTTTCTTTCGACTTTCGACTCAAATTTGGGGACGAGTCTTCTATCAAAATAACAGCTATTTTCAACTAGCGTCTGTGTTGAATGACATGCGGATACCAAGACTCAAATATTTTACTTGGTACGAAATGGAAAAGAAACTTGCAGGTGAGACATTTACATGCAAACGGTAAACTGTGTAAAGGGAAGATACTACAATCTCATAGCAGGGATTTTGTGAACTCGGAAACAACATCAAATATTGAATTCCCAAATCTGTAAATTCTTAATTGACTTTCAGATTCGTGGATTTACCAGTTTACCTATACTTAATGATCACTTGATTGCATTGGTGTTAGTTGTATCATTGATTTATGGATCAGTTAACTGACTCTTCATTTTCCTTAGTTGCCTATCTACTTTTTCCGTACTGGTTGGATATTTTAAAAAATATTTTAAAGTATTTCTACGTTCATTTCTTTATTTATCCTCTTATTTCCTTTGCACCCAAAATCCCTTCTTCTGAGATCTACGTATGAACTAACATACCTAACTCACTTCTATATAAGGCATACTCTCCGTGGCTCAGGGTCTCGCCGGCCGTGAACTCATGCAGCCCGTAGTCTGTGATCTTGAGCACCCAGCGACTGTCCACCACACAGTTGGACGACTTGAGCTTGCCGTGGGACACCAGCTCTGACCCGTGCAGGTAGATCATGCCCTGATGGGGAAACAGAAGATTTTAACACAATTATTAATATGTTCCAGTCGACACAATTTAGATTATTTAGAAGGTGGTCTTTTTCAAACCTACCTGCAAGGTTACCCCTCGCTTTTTGGAGCACTATAATAAATTCACCAAGAAGTCGGATACATTAAATGATGAAACAGACTTCCTCTCTTAGAAATCAGCTCTATGTCAGTGTTTCGGGGTGGGGGGGGGCATTATAATGTCCAAAACACTTGAGCCGGCCCTTCCAAAATAGGAGGTAAAACTGGAGATCCTGTATCTTAGATAAGTACAGTGTTGAAAGGGTCGTTACTATAATGCCTTCATATTCAACGAATAACGGTATACCAATAAGGAAGGTTTCAATTAAGATATCTCTTAAACTGATATCTCAGCTAGACGCTTTTTCAAAAGTTTTTCTTCTTTATTTTGTTGTTGCTGTTGATGTTTTGTTTTGGTGGGTTTTTTTATTTCTCTTAATAGAATTTAAAATAAAACTTCTCATGTTCTCAACATCATCTGTTGAAAAGGCATCACAATCAATTTCTCATAAATGTTGAAGTATTTTTCAAGACATTTCAACATTCTATTTCACAATATGTTTTATGCTCCAGATAATTTCAGCAACACTTTGAAAATTGAAAAACTTAATCGTTGATTTTTTTTCCGAAATAAGAGGGGCGTCCTGATATCACTTTAGCTAAAAACCTTATCCCCAGACCAGACAATCGACGGAGATGGGTCTCGAGTTAAGTTACCCCATTCGGTGTGGTGAAAGGTTGTGAACATTTGCGTTACGTGCTCGAAAACTCATCAATAACCGTCGATCTAGTCCAGCTCTATAACGCAAAGCCACTACACCCGAAATAGCTCGATAATGTTGGGAAATTGAGACCCAATTTTCCTTTTCTGCAGCTGTTGGCATCGAACCTCATTAAATCTTGTACACAGTTTTGGGCTTTTTTTTCTTCGTGTGAGCGGTTACCATGGGAGGTTTATTCATGAATTTGATCGAGAACCAGAGTTACGACGTTCATTCAAATCTAGACAGACTCATGGTTTCTTCTTTACTTTCTGCAACATAACATTTTATTGAAGCACGATCACCTGTACGGAAAATAGATTTAAAAAACGTTTATTTTTGTAATATATCGACACACTATGTCTAATGGGGTGCACATCCAGCAATGTGCTAGGATTTCTTTATAAAAAAATGTGTCAATTGTTCAGTTCGTTGTCACACGTTCCAGTTCCCTCTTACTTATTTTGCTGCCACTGTCTAAAAGGTCACCTTCCGGTGACACAATCAATATCATTATATAGTTACATAATGCTCTCTCTCTCTCTCCTTCTCTCTCACTCTCATTCTCTTTCTCTCTTCCGCTTCCCTCTCTCTCTCTCTCTCTCTCTCTCTCTCTCTCTCTCTCTCTCTCTCTCTCTCTCTCTCTCTCTCTCTCTCTCTCTCTCTCTCTCATTTGTTTGTTTGTTATAATTTGTTTGCAATGTTACTCATCAGCACGAAACTAGTTTACTTTGCTAAGGGCAGAAGACTCATATAACGAAAGTTAAAATGATTTGAAATGTTGAGGTGTACTCGTTTCACATAATACGCAACGTCTCTTTTGTAATAAAGCCCAAACATCAATCGATTTCATCACTCTGTGACGGCCAGCGGAAAGGTGGCTTTTTCACGGTTGTTCCCCTTGCTTTATGGTGGACGTATTAATCATTATGATTGTGGCAGCGTTTGGTCTGGGCCCCTGTGAAAGTAGGGAACCTTGACGATGATGATGATGATGATGATGATGATGATGACGACGATGATGATGACGACGACGAAAGCGAAAACATGGTGACGACAACGATAGTTTTACTGCTGCTGCTACTGCTGCTGCTGCTGCTGCTGCTTCTGCTGCTGCCGCCGTCGCTGCTGCTGCTTCAGATGATGATGATGATGATGATGAGGATGATGATGATGAAGATGATGATAATGATGATGATGATGGAATGTTATTTTGGAGGCCTTAGGTGAACTGTCACAGAGATAGAAGGCCGTAGTCTGTCTTTATTTAACTTCATTGTTTTCTTTTTCTATAGGGACAGTTGCCTTTTTAAGTTATGTTAAATAGAAATATTTCCAGGAAGAGGGATGGAAATAGGTGAAAGGGGGGGGGG